CCTTATTTGACATGCAATTCCAAGTTACAGTCTTTTGTTTCACTGGAACTCAAGCAGTTGGTCACATCATATCCACAGCCAAAAACAAAGAGAGACTACACCCTTGGTTGTTTGTTTTCATTAGCTTTCTTCTTATGAAAAAAATTTTTCCTTAATGATTTAGATTATACATAAAGATTCATTTATTTTAATTTTATGTTTATGTTGTTTTGTCTGCATGCATGTCTGTGTACCACATACATGCCTGGTGCCCAAAGAAGTCAGAAGACGATGTTGATCACTGGAACTTGAGTTCCAGGTGGTTGTGAGTTGTCATGTATTGGTACAGTAAGCACTCTTAACCACTGAACCATCTCTCTAACACCTCAGTTATTTTTCTTCTCAATGGGGAATGGTACTACCTAAAATACAGGGGTCTGACTGTGCCAATTAACAATTAAGATAACCCCCTACCTACATGGCCACAGCCCAATTTTGTCCAGATAATTCCTCATTAAGAATGTTTCCAGATGATTATAGGCTGTAACAATTGTGTGAGGTTTACACAGGAGGTTGATGTCCAGTGTCTTATTCTATTGATCCCTACATTGGTGTGTTTTGCTGGTTAGTTTGCTTTCACTGTGTAACCCTGGCTTTCTTGGAATTCCTGATGCAGACGAAGCTGAGCTTGAACTCAGAGATCCATCTGCCTTTGCCTCCTGAGTGCTTCAGTTAGAGGTGTGTACCACCACTTAGCCCCCAACTTTTTATTTTTGGGACAGGGCCTCTCACTATGTAGTTTTGTCCTAGAACTCACTGTATAAACCAAACTGGCTTAAAGATATGCATCATTACATCTGCATGTGCGCCCCCCCTGCATGTGCGCCCCCCCCCCACACGTTGACTTTTTGAGGCAGGGCCAGTTTGAATCATGAGACTACCAGTTGGTTTTGAGCTCCAGGGATCTTCCTATTTCTGCTTCCCAAATAACTGGATTATACACACCCAGCCTTTTATGTAGATTCTGGAGATCTGACTTCCAAGTTTTAATTCTTTGCATAGCAGGACTTTACTGACTGAGCCATCTTCCATGCTCTCTGCTTCTCTTCCCCCAGTTTCAGGTATTAAAATTGTCAGTTCTGTCTTCCACAAATTGGGCTGCATGTAACTTGAACAAGTAAAACTCTATGAAAAGCAAAAAAAGTAAACAGTAATTGCCTGTATTATTTTATTGGGTAACTGGCTAATTTTTTCCTTTATAAACCACACCAGCTGGTGTATAAGCACACATGTGTTTGGGTATTCCATAGATAAAGAAATACTGACTGGAATATATTATCAGTTATCACTGGGCTTCACAGTCTTTCATCCAGATGTAATCTGCATGAGATTACAGGTTTGATCTTTAGTTGATATCATCTCAACTACATCAGTATGTTTCATTTTTCGCTAAAAAAACTATGACAAGTTTTGAAGATTAGGTCTAGGAAAAGAAGGCAGGCCTTAGAAGGTATAATTTACCTGCCTTGATTGAGTGGGACAGATAGTAAAATCTAATTTAGTCTACCATATGAAGAATGTAAAATAAATGAGTAAATTTAGGGGTACCTATTATTACATTTTGTTTGGGAACTTTTGCTTTCTGGGAAGCAGTTATATTATTCCATTTTACTGATTAAAGTCTATAAAGTTAAACCAGAAAAGTCTAGACCAGAAATAAAACCCACTTTTACCAGTGCTTCTGTTACTTCAGCAAGTCCAGGTTAGGATCTGGACTGGGAAAGAACACTCAGAGCTAGCATACTTCTGTCATTGTTGATTAGAATTGGTTCTGATTCCATTTCTTTTTCTTTTTCTTTTTTTTCCCATTCATTTATTTAGCTCATAAATAAAGACATGCACAATTATGATACATAATATGTTCACAATGGCATGGCTAAATTAAACCAATTAACATGTTATAGCACACATATTCATCATTTTTGTTTTGAGAACACTTGAAGTATACTATCTCACAACTTTTAAAATATATCATATTGTTATAAACCATATTTATCATGCTCTCAGTAGATCTCCTGATTCCATTTCTTAAAGATAAGTACATCTATCCATAGAGGTACACGACATCCATGTTTACAGCTTCTGAAGCATAGTTCCATGTCTCCTTTAGGTGCACACACTTCCTCTCAGTCTTGTCACTTACTATGAAGAACAGTACACTAAGTACATCCCACAGATTTTTGGTGCCTCACTGAGTAGAAATGAAGTGCTTCCTTAAAGCCCTTATATAGATATCATTGTATTTTACACAGGCATTGCTAGCCAAATGAGATTCCTATCTCTCTTTGATTGGGAAAGCTGAAGAAAGCAGGCATCATAAAGTATAACCTACTTCCTGGTTTCTCCCTAAAACTGTAGGCTCTGTGGTTACTGTTTGCTTTCTAAGTTACTACTTCAGATTCTGGTCATATCAGAGATTGATACAACTACTTCCATTTTAAAGTCCCATTGTTAGTGTCTCATGGTTTAATAAACAAGCTATTGATTTTTATTTTTTTGTTATGCCAGTTCCCTATTCCTGATACTAATGTCTGTGTTAACTTGATTGTGTGAATTGAACACCTGTAATAGAAACTTCAAAAACACAGCAGTTGATTATCTAAAACTACATTTTCTCTAGGATTGAACTCAGTTTAGTAGGCTTGTATATCAAAGCCTTTATTTCCCAAGATCTCACCCAAAAACCCATATAGTATTTTGATCATGAAAGGTTGTGTTTGATGAGACTTCATTACTGGGTATGTGGTTGCTTATGAACCCAGATTTCTTCTATTCCTTTTTCCTGTGCCATCCCTTGGAGTGTTGATCTCATTGTCAGCTTTGTGGCATTTGTTTGCTGTTTTAGTCCTTAGGAAAAAGAAATATAATTTTGCCAAGAGCACATCATTTGCTTTATATGAGAAATGGCACAGTGACTTCAATCTTGTGACTTGCTAAGTTACTGCTGTGCTTTGTTGGGGACAAGATTTCTCTCTGGTTGATTCACTATTTCAGTTTGCACATTGGTGAGGTTCCCCCCACCCCTAGTACTTCTTGTTTTATCTTGTACATCTTTCAAGTTGTTTATATACTTTGAGGCTTATATACTTATTTGGTGGGTGCATGTAGTTTCTTTATTTGTGGGTTCATTTCTTACATAGAAATTTATAATTTCATTGTAAATTGTTTCATTTTTAGTCTCTATAGTTGATGTAAATATACACTTTTTTGATTTGATGCTGGGTGTTATATGTGAAAATTTTCTGTAGGGTACATAGGATTCCTTGATTGCTAAACCTCATAAAAACAATGGCCAAATTTTCCCCTATTTCCATTATTAAAAGGCACAATGCTGTTTTAACTATGAAAACCCTGTCTGTTGTAGCTTCATGACACCATTTTATTAGGTAGAATTTATAATTATTTGTACATTTTATAGGTAATAGGTTTCAGAATTATTCAGTATTCTCCCCCCAATGCTTCCCTAAAGTTCATGTTGACTTTAGGTGATACTCATCATGAAAATAGGGAAATAAAATTGAAATCCTGGTGTGAGATGTGAAAGATGAAGTTCCAAGTGAAGTTTATTGTTCACGCTGCTAACACACTCATGCCTAGTGTGCGGTAAGGTGTGACCTGGGGTGTGTGTGAGAAGCTGGTGCTGTACATATAGCCTTAGAGGAGTTATTCAGGCAGAGGGCTGTATTTTCATTTGGGAGTAGAAACCAATCAACTAAAGAGAAAGTAGACTATTAGATATTTTATTCATATATGGCTCTTTCTGTCTTTTCTTTCCTCCCTCCTTCTCTCCCTCCCTCCCCCCTCCCTTTTTCTCTCCCTCCCTCTTTGTCTTAAGTTTATACTTCAGGCTGTCTTGGAATTCACTATGTATCATAGGGTAACTTAGAAACCACTGTCCTCTTGTCTTAGCCTCTAGAGTTATGTTTTACCATCATGTGACTCCTTGTTTGACTCAATCATTTGATCTTGATGAACAGTTACATGAAGCATATGGTGAAGTATAGTTTGACAGGTGAATAAAAGAGAAATGCCCTTTATATAATATTTAAATAACCAGCAGATGGTTAAATTGGTGCTGGAGATATAGTCCTCATGTTTGTTTGTTTGTTCAGATACTGTGTAGAAAGGTCTAAATAAATTTACAATTAGAAAGCAAAGATTTATCTAAGAGTGTAGAATTGTGTGGAGCATTGGTAGAGGAGTAATGTAGTATGAAAGACAATGGACATCTTTTTATTTAAAGAAGAAGAGTGCACACCCCCCCCCCCAGGTAAAACCTCACAGGAGATGGAGAGATGGCTCAGTAGTTAAGACCACTTTTTGCTCTTACAGAATACCTGGGTTTCGTTTCCAGCAACCATATAATTGGTCATAACTTCAGTCTGGGGATCTACCCTTATGGCCTCTAAGGGTATTGCATGCATATGGTACACATTCATACATGCAAGGCAAAAACACTGATGTGTATTTAAAAAATATCAGATAAAAGCCTCACAGTGATTAGGCTGCTTCCTGAAAACTACATATAAGGTTTCTGTAGTTACAGTCCTGCAGAATCAAAGAGCAGTCTCTTTAAATATTTATCGTTTAGAATGGCAAGTGGCTAGGATGATTGTTTCAGATTAGTATTCTCAATTTATAAAACATGAATAAACTTGAACTACACTGAAACACATTTATTTTACAGATCAACTGTTACAATCCTGAAAATATTTCAAACAGTTATTTCTTTTGTGAAACTTCCCTAAGTCAATTGTACTGTGGGTGTCAGGTACAGTGAACCATGGTTTACATTATGCTGGTGATTACTATTCAGTAGCAAACTGACACTAACTATACGAACTTTTCCTATTTGTGAGGTATTATCATTTATTCTTTTTTCATTACTGTATTTGCTTCATAGTTAAATTCCTTAGTGATTAAACACAAAATGACTCTATATTTTCTTGTTTATTGTTAAGCAGAAATCAAAGAACAACCCGTGGAAGAGGATGCTGAAGCAGAAGTGGACAGCAGCAAACAGCCAGTCTCAGCTGTTCAGCGGCCTGTGTCTGAGGAATCTGCAAACTCCCTGGTCTCTGTTGGTGTAGAAGCCAAGATCAGGTTAGACAATGAAGAGAACTGGGTTAGAGACAGTTGACAGGGGAAAAGAGTGATGACTGTAGCGAAAATGGAGTGAGACAGTGCTTAGCACCTGGATGGGGTTTTATTATTTTGGTAGCTTTAAATTTGACAGCCCTGTGTGTAGTTGTCGTAGAAGCTGGCTGTGCTATGAACTTTGTGATTGGAGAGCAGGGAGTGCACTAGATGGTTCTGTAGCTAATCCAGATACGTTTTTAAAGTTTTTCAAGACAGGATTTCTTTATGTAGATTTGGCTGTCCTGGAACTCACTTTGTAGACCAGGCTGGCATTGAACTCAGAGATCTGCCTTCCTGTACTGCCCAAGTGCTGGATTAAAGACATGCGCCGCCACCGCCTGGCTATATGTTATTCTTAACTGAATAAATAGCTAAGAGCACCTAACAAGAATTAAGTTCTGAGAGGCCAAGAGACAGCTTTTTCAGACATCTTTATCACCAACATGGTGACTTAAGCTGTGTGTAACTCCAGTTCCTAGGGATTCATTGCCCCCTTCTGACCTCTGTGGATACCCAGGCATACATGTGATACATATACAAAACATGTAGGCAAAACACTGACATTAAAAAAAAAAAAGTTGCTAACAACACACACACACACACACACACACACAAATAATTTTTGATCATTTTTTTGTTTGTTTTGGTTTGTTTGTTTGTTTGTTTTAAAAGATTTTATTTATTATGCATACAACATTCTGCTTCCATATATATCTGCACACCAGAAGAGGGCACCAGATCTCATTACAGATGGTTGTGAGCCACCATGTGGTTGCTGGGAATTGAACTCAGGACTTCAGGAAGAGCAGTCGGTGCTCTTAATCTCTGAGCCATCTCTCCAGCCCCCTTGGTTTGTTTTGTTTGTTTTCTTTTTTGTTTTTCGAGACAGGGTTTCTCTGTGGCTTTGGAGGCTGTCCTGGAACTAGCTCTTGTAGACCAGGCTGGTATCGAACTCACAGAGATCCGCCTACCTATGTCTACTTCCTGAGTGCTGGGTTTAAAGGCATGCACCACCACTGCCAGGTGGATCATATACACTTAACAAGCTTGTTTTTACCATCTCTTCATTCTTTAAAAAAAGACCCCACTTCACACACACTAAATAAAGAAATAGTAACAACAAATTAAAAGAAAAAAAAATGGGACCGAAGAAGATGAAGGCACCTGAGTTGGTCAAAAGGAAGCAACTGACTTATGTAGAATGTCTTCTGACTGTGATATGTTTATACATGTCCTTGTGCACACAAAATAAATATGTAATATAACAACAACCAATTTTTTTTTGTTTGTTTGTTTGGTTTTTGTTTGTAAAGACAGGGTCTTGGTGGCCTGGAACTTACTATGTAGTAAGGTTCTCTGCCTGTGTCCCTTCTAAGTGTGAAACACCATACCTGGCCCAATAAAAAGTTGGGTTTTTTTATTATTTATGATTAGATTAGTATGTCGTTCAGCTTTCATGTCTTTTTTTTTTGGGTTCTATTAATTGTTGCTTTTAACACCCCCTCCTTCCTCTTTCTGTCTTCTGTTGCATCTTGCGAAGCTGCTTAACCTTATACTTTGAGGGTTGTTGAGTATCCTGTAACAGTCTTGCTTGTGTCCTGATAAGCCACAAGTATACATTTCTAGTGAGAATGTTTCCTAAAATCCAAGCTCTTCTGTCTTGTCTGGTTTACATTTCCATATAGAAGTGTATTAGTTACTGCACCTATAGTGTGTTTCAAATTACTGTCTATTCTGGAGCTTTCTCTGGCTTCTACATTTCAACAAGTAGTGCCAGTATTTACCCTGTTGTTTAGAAGTCTCTGATTTGTCTCTTCATAGTTCACATTCAACTTCTTGTCATCTTGATTTGGCCTGCTGTCTGGGTTGAATCTATTGTCTTTAGGATACTAATTACCTTTTTACTTGTTTTCTTCTCCTCATTATCTTTCCATAGTGTAGTTTAGTTTTGGATCTGTTCCCCACTAAGTTTAACGGCTAATATATTTAAATATGACATTTTAGTTGTATTTAGCATTTCAGGTCTGTTCTTTTTTTCTGTAAGGCAAGGTCTAGCCCCGGTGGTTTGTCTTCAGGTTAATCTCCCTTTGTTACTGAATGTGCTCTATCCAGTTTTTGTCTTCGTTCTTTTGAGTTTTTGTGTTGTCAGTCATATGCGTTACCTTTTGAAAGAGTCTTCCCAACTACCTGCTTCTATTGCGTGGAACACTTTGAGGAGTATTGGTATTAGGTCTTCATTGAATTTCTGGTAGAATTCTACACTGAAACTATCGAACCCTGTGCTTTTTTTTTTTTTTTTTTTTTTTTTTTTTTTGGTTGTGAGAGTTTTGATGGTTGCCTCTTATTTCATTAAGGATTATAGGTCCATGTAAATTGCTTATTATCCAGAAAATTGTTTATTTCTTTTAATTTCCAGTTTTGTGGAACAATTTTTTTCAAAATAGATTAGTACTTTTACAAATTTCATATCTCATAATGAATTCTTTAATCAATTTTGAATTTCATTTTGCATGTAGTATGAGATAGGTTTTATTTCTCTGTATATGGCTTTCCGGTTTTCCCAACACTAATTGTTGAAGACTGCCCAATTCATCATTGTGTACATTGCCATTTCTGGCACAGATAGATCTATAATAAATGTGTGGATTTATTTCTCAGATTCCTCACTTGTTCCATTGGTGATACATAGTTTTATAATCTTTATAATGTGCTTTGAAGTTGGAGGGTGTAATGCCTTTAGCTTTGTTCTGCCCCTTGTCATCTTGCTTCATGATCCAGTATGTAGCCCATGCCAGCATGGAATTTGTAATTGTCCAGCTGCAGCTTTCTGAGTGCTAGGATTATAGGCATGTGTACTATATTTGTTTTTTAGGTTTGTTCTTTATGATTAAGATTTCTTCCTACATGTTTGTTATATAAATTTTGTATTATTTGTTTAAATTTACATGCAACTATTTATTTATTACTGTTGTGATTGGGATTATTTTCTAGTTTTCAAATAGCTCATTATTAGCATGCAGAAACACTGATTTTTTTTAAAAAAAAGATTTTATTTATTTATTATGTATTCAACATTCTGCTTCCATGTATATCTGCACACCAGAAGAGGGCACCAGATCTCATTACTGATGGTTGTGAGCCACCATGTGGTTGCTGGGAACTGAACTCAGGACCCCTGGAAGAGCAGTCAGTGTTCTTAACCTCTGAGCCATCTCTGCAGCCCCACAGGTTCTGGCTATTACAAACAGTGCTGCTATGAACATGGTTGAACAGATGTCCTTGTTGTGTGTTGCTGCTCTTTCAGAGGACTCCGCTTCAGTTCCTAATGCCATTGTTGGGTGGTTTTACAGTTGCTTGTAACTCCAACTCCTGGAGATCCAGTGCCCATTTCTGACATTCTGTGTAAACATTACAGATAAATACATGTGAATAAACAATCTAGAAAGAAATCATACTATAAAAGGAATTACAAATATAAAATTGCTATTTATTTCAGTTCTCATGGTATCATCATAGATTATTGAAAATACAGTTAAAAACTTTATAAATAAGGTCGTTGCTTAAAGCTATTTTTCATTTTTTTTTTTTTTTTTTTTAACCAGTGAACAACTCTGCGCTTTTTGTTATTGTGGGGAGAAAAGTTCCTTAGGACAAGGAGATTTGAAACAATTCAGAGTAACACCTGGACTTATCTTACCTTGGAAAGATCAACCTTGTAACAAGGACATCCATGACAACAGCAGTGTGACATGTGAGAAAATACAATATTCAGCTCCACAAAAGCAAAGAGGAAAACGAAAGTAAGCAATTTTTAATTTAAATTTTTGATAGGGAAAAATGACCTCTGTCTTTCTTACTTTGGATCTTATGAATGGACAGTTGATGTTGTTACTGTTGAACAGTTTTTGTACTGCACATTCACGCAGTACTTTCTGATTTACCACTAACACCCAGAAAATAGTCTCCCCCCCCCAATTTCTTTGCTTTACATGTTATCAAAGTTCCTGGGGTAATAAAAGTTAACCACATGGAAGAAAGATAATATTCCAGAGTAGTTCTTCCCCTCTCTCATACTAGTTTATGTTTGCAGGAGTGCAGCTCTGCCCCTCAACCAGAAGTTTGGCACTATTCACATCACTGTTGTCATTCCATTCATCTTTTCCACTCTCAGTCTATGAACGCACATGTTTTGGAGAATATCTAGTTGACTTATAACCTCTTGTTATATTTCTGACACCTCCATCTTTGCCTTCCTTTTCTGTACCTGTCATAGAAGATACTATTTTTAAAAAAATTAAAATGTTTGCATAGCCATATGTATGTCTTTATTCATAGACACATAAACACATTATAGTTTCCTAAAACTCCTGTGGAATGTGCTTTTACATTTTTTTCAGTTGTGTTTTAAGGTCATTTTAATATGTGGACTTGATAGTTAAGGGAATAGAAGTTTCTGTAATTGATGGGAAAAATCAATTTAGCTTGAGAGGCTGGAGAGGTGTCTCAACAGTTAAGAGGACTTGCTGCTCTTGCAGAGGACCAGAGTTTGGTTCTCTGTATTTAGTAAATGGTTCATTGCCACCAGTAAGGAACTCTAGGGTATACTACTCCTTCTTCTAGCTTTCAGGGACAACACCACACATGCACACGCATGCATGCACGCACACACATACACCTACCTACCTTTAAAAATTAATTTAGGTTCTGTCTGAGTGGTTAAGAGCTCTTACCATTGACTTACATAGCACCCACTTGGCAGCTCACAACTTCAATTCAAGGGGACCCAGTGCCCTCTGTTGACTTGTACAGGTTCTCATACACTTGTCTGCATACATACACTCAGGTACACAACAAATATTTAAAAAATTAATTTAGCCTGGAATGCTAACCAACTCTGTACTTTAACAATATAATTTTCTAAGAGTCTCTCTAGCCTTTATGGAAATTTAAGTGTTAAGTGCCAGTACTTAAAGACTCAAAGTAGAAAGACAAACAGTAACAAAGATTCATTTCCATAAAATTTTTAAGGTGGAACAAAGAAAGAAACATTGCATTTTTAGTTACAATTTTTCTATTTTCAAGCTAGATCACATATAAGAGCCTTAATTTTGTTGTCAACTGAAGTCTCACATGTTAATAAGATATTACAAAGTACAGTAAGCTTATAATCTCTATAAGTGGTTAGCAAATACAATGGAGTAGTTCAGGCTATATCTTGTTTCTGTTTTCTGTCTTGAATAATGGCAATTATATCTTTTTGTGGGAAATAGGATTATGCATCATTTACTTATTTTATAAGTGATTTTTCCCCATTAATTTAAATGGAAAATTTATGAGATTATAGATGTAGCTTAATGAAAGTTGTGTATAATTAGCACTTACTAAGTTTATTAAGTAATGCTAAAAAGTTCATTAGTGTATACTGAGAATTTTGGCAATCTTGCGAGGATAAGATGGTTTAATTTAGCTTAGTAATGATTTTAAATATTTAAAAAATGTATGTTACTAATGATGTAGTACCATAGCTAATTAATTTTGATTTTTAAAAAAGATTTATTGCTTATGTATACAGTGTTCTGTCAGCATGTACGCCAGTAGATCAGAAGAGGGCACCATATCTCATTACAGAAGTTTGTGAGCCACCAGGTGGTTGCTGGGAACCAAACTCAGGACTTTTGGAAGAACAGCCAGTGCTCTTAACTGCTGAGTCATCTCTCCAGCCTCAACAACTTTTTTTTTTGAGACAGAGTTTCTCTGTAGCTGTGGAGCTTGTCTTGGAATATGCTCTGTAGCCCATGCTGGCTTCGAACTAACAGAGATTGGCCTGTCTCTGCCTCCTGAGTACCTGGATTAAAGGTGTGCACCATGACCTCCTGGCTAATTTTGAGTTTTTTTTATACTTTAATCCCAGCGCATGCCTTTAATCCCAGCCTGGTCTCCATAGTGAGTGCCAGGATAGGCTCCAAAGCTACACAGAGAAACCCTGTTTCGAAAAACCAGAAAAAAAAAAAAAAAAAAAAAAAAAAAAAAAAAAAAACCAAAAAAGTTAAAATAGGAGGCTTGAGAGATGGCTCAGTGGTTAGGAGCACTTGTAATAGCTAAAGTGTTAAGCCGTGCCAGGCCCTGAGTCTTCCATATGATAAAACACTTAAGTCAACACCCTACTTTTGTCTCTTACCCTGTCTTTCTTATTCCCCATGCCTTTAGTGTCTATTTTCCTTTTAATTTGTGAGGTATGGTCTTGAGATTACTTCAGCATCATGCAACAGACCCGCTGTTGATATCATAGGGACCATCAGAAAGCTAAAGCTCACGTGTCCAACCCCCCCCCCCCCCCCCCCCCCACACACACACTTGTAGGCTTTCATTTTCCCTAGGAAAGAGTCTGTTTGCACATAAAGTTATCTTCCAGCTTTGTGTTGAGATAATGCTTGTTAAATGTTTTATGTGTAAGGCTGAAAAAAAAAAAAGAACAAAAAAAGTGCATTCTATTTTTTTTTTTTTTTTTTCCAGACAGGGTTCTTATCACGATTCTTATCATCAGGCCTGATGGCAGCTGCCCTTACCCACTGAGCCATCTCGCCAGAAACACCCCCCTCTCTTTTTTTTTTTTTTGTTTTTGTTTTTGTTTTTGTTTTTGTTTTGGTTTTGGTTTTTTGAGACAGGGTTTCTCTATGTAGCTTTGGAGCCTATCCTGGCACTTGCTCTGGAGACCAGGCTGGCCTCGAACTCACAGAGATCCGCCTGCCTCTGCCTCCCGAGTCCTGGGATTAAAGGCGTGCACCACCAACGCCTGGCTTGCATTCTGTTTTTAAAAAACATGGTTCTGTATAGAATGTGTTATTTCTAAAACTTATATTAAGGATTGGATAAAAAGTGAATTTTTTAACTGTAATTGTCAAATATCCTATGATTCGGAGAGATTTTCTTCACTGTTGAGTACAAGAAATAGAGTAACACCCACTTTAATATTTTGAATAATAACAACAGGTGAATTCTTGATATTTTGTCACTGTAAACTGATAATTAAAGCTGATTTGACAGTTATAAAATGAAGTGATATTTTTTTTTAATCTTACTTTTCAGAGAACGATCTACCCAGCAGAAGGCAGTTCCTTGTGTAAGTGTAAGCACCCAGACATCTTCTGAGGATCAGGCTGGCAAATTATGGGATGAACTCAGTCTGGTTGGCCTTCCAGATGCCATTGATGTCCAAGCCTTATTTGATTCCACAGGTAATGGGGGTTGGGGCTCTTTGCAGTAGCTCCTTCCCCTTGTTTCTAGAAGCATTTGGTGCTTATTCCATAGTAAATTCTTGAAAGAGCCATGTGAAAACTTAGGAGACATTTTAGGTTAGACTTTATTTATTTATTTATTTATTTATTTATTTATTTATTTATTTCGTATACAGCATTCTGCTTACATGTATATCTGCACATTAGAAGAGGGCACCAGATCTCATAACCGATGGTTGTGAGTCATCATGGGGTTGCTGGGAATTGAACTCAGGACCCCTGGTAGAGAGTCAGTGCTCTTAACCTCTGAGCCATCTCTCCAGCCCTAGGTTAGTTAGACCTTTTGCTGGTGGAAGAAAGTGCAAGTCTTTGCCTCAAGTGGTTTACTTACTGTAATAGTATGGTCATTCATGGAATATGGTACTGTTAGGAATTTAAGTCAATCACGTGTAGCAGTTCAGCTGATGGCTGATGGTAAGCCAAATGTTGTGCAATGCATAATTTAAGCATGAATGGAGAGGAATAGAAGTGTAGATGCAATGAATTTTCCACACCCCCTTGTCATCAACTTGATATTAAATAATTCTTTACATTCTATATAAATATATTAAATAGAACAGTGTTTAAATAAAATGACTAAGTGAATTTTATTTCTAATTCAATAATTCCTGACATCAGAATCACCTGGAAGATTTAGTGGGTCTCAGTTATGCCCTGTAATTTTGCATTACTGAAAGATTCTCAGATAGGTACTCTGACTTCCAAGTTGCAGTCTGGGCCAATTTGAGAAAGGCTACTTTAATAGAATCACATAAAGATACATTGTATTTTTTATACATTTATTTATTTATTTTGAGATAATTCTTATCCTATAGTCCTCATTAGTCTGGAACTCACACAACTATATAGCACCACTGGCCTTGAATGGAGCCTCCTACATCAGTCTCCAGAGTACTAAGATTTCAGCCGCGTGTTACCACACCCAAGTTGTAGCAGTATCTTCAGTGTTTATTAATTTGTTCCTTTTTTTCTATTTTAGGCACTTGCTGGGCTCATCATCGATGTGTGGAGTGGTCACTGGGAATATGCCAAATGGGAGAACCATTGTCAGTGAATGTGGACAAAGCTGTTGTCTCAGGGAGCACAGAAGTGAGTGGAAGAAACAGATCTTTAAACCACAATTTTTTTTTTTTGTTTGGTTTGTTTTTGAGAACTTAATATGTAAAGGAGAATGATCTTGAATATCTTCATCCTGTGCCTTTTCTTCTTCAGTATCTGTGTGGTGCTGTGGATAGACTCTAGGGCTTCATACATCCTGAACACTGTGCCTCAATCCTCTCACATTTATCCAATCATAACATTTCCTTTGGAAGAGTTATTTTTTAAATGTGTACTGTAATGCATAACCCCCAAAACACGAAATTGATAACTATACCAAGGATAGTTTGTCTAAGATTATTTTTCAGTTAACATAAAGCTTTACTTTTAAATAAAAAATGATCCATTTTAGAAATGGGAATTACAAGTTACATTTATGCGTCCATGCAGCTGTCTCTCTCTAGGTAGCCCTGGCTGGAACTCACTATGACTAAGACAGTCTTGAACTCAAGAGTTCCCCTTCCTGTGCCTCCAAGGTGTGTGCTTCTATGCTACCTTCATGCAGTGACGTGTGTGTGTGTGTGTGTGTGTGTGTGTGTTATCTATCTATCTATCTATCTATCTATCTATCTATCTATCTATCTATCTATCATCTATCTGTCTATCAATCTATCTAATCTATCATCCACCCACAGGTCTTTTGAGACAGCTCTGGTTATCCTGGAACTTAATATTTGATAAAAATTTAAAATAAGACCCAGGCATGTATGAAAGAACTATGTTTAGCATTTTTAATATTAAATGTTGATGAAATATACTATTTCATTCCATTTGTGACATAGCTCTTTGAAAACAGCTTGAAAGCCAGAAATTTTGGAAAGTGTGTGTGCTTTAATAAGTAAGGTTTTCAGAAGTATAGTTGAGGAAAAGACTTATTGTATCAGTTACTTTACTCAAATTATTAAAAGAATTGTTCATTTAAGAATGGTCTGGTGAGACAGACTTGGAGTAACATTTACTCAGGAGGCTCAGGTAGGAAGACTGTAAATTCAAGTGCAATTTGGTTTCAGAGTGATCAAGTAATCAACTTAGTGAAAAGGGTACTGGGATTATAGTTCAATAGCAAAATGCTTACCTAGTATATGAAAGGCCCTGCCTTCCACCCCTAGTATCTTTTAACATTCCAACAAAACAAAAAAAACATAGCAGTATTTTTGTTTTATTACATTTACTCATTTATATAGTGTGTGCATGAATCAGTGGTTAGAGGAAAACTAGTAGGAATTAGTTCTTTCCTTCCATGTTTCTCAGAGATAGAACTGAGGTCATAAGGCTTGACAACAAGCACCTAAACCCACTGAACAAACCCCCCCCCCCCCAGCCCTCATAATGTTTATAATGATAATGTATAGTTATGCATAAGTTTGTTTGCAGTAAAAAGATTCCTTGCTTTAGCCTATCTTATTTGGAAAGAAAGTATACCATTTATGTTCTTTAAATGGTTATTGATTAACATTTTGAGTGGTATTCTGAGTTCAAAGTTATGCCCTGTTCCCCTGGGGGTGGGATAAGAGGGTTCATAGTCTTCGGAGACCTAGATTCCTTCTGATGTTATATCTAGGTGTTAATGCTGAGTAGTTTTGGCTAAACAGGATAAAAAGCTTACAGAATACTTTGGTGGTGTGGTAATGTCATAGGGGAGCCATTGCCAGCAATGCCAAACTCTTGCCTCTCTGCTAGATACACTCATTCAAATATAGTAGTGTTCAAGGTCTTATTGCTGTTTATCTTGTTCTCTGAAGTGTCCAATGGAATACAGCCTTCATTTTCTTCTGTTGGAATTTCTATAATATAGATATTGGTTCAATCAGTATGAGTCCTATAGTCCTATAGTCTTTGTTTATTCCCTGCCTGACTCATCTTTCATTTCTGTCCTTTCCCTTTGTCCTTTCCTCAACATACTTGTTCAGAATTTCAGCCATTCTTTCTTTTCAGTGGTTTATTCTTTTGTGGTTATTCTCTGGTTGTATTTTTTGTTTCAGTGGTGAAAGTTCTCAATTTCAGCATTTTTTTGTTCCTTCTTGCTTAGTTTTCCAGTAGTGTTGTGAGTTTCCTTTCTCATTCTGCTCTATTTTGTATCTTTTTTCCCCCTTGCATCTTATCATGATTGTTTTGAGTCCTTCTTCAGGCATTTCATAAATTTCATCCCTGTGGGCATCCGTTGCTGGAGAATTTTTTTTTTTTTTGGAAGTATCACATTTCTTGCATGTCCTTTTCTTTTCCATTTGCTTTGCTAGAGTACTCTTTGTCTGTTTCTTGTGATCCTTCCTTGATGTCTGCACATCTCCCATTTGTTGTAATAGTTGTTGCTCCCATTTTGAAGCACAGATTTTACAGGAAAATACTTTTTATTTTGTTTAGATGAGATCTAGTGTGCTAGTTGAGTAGGTTCTTTGGTTGTAGATGAGTTCAAAAGTGTTAACCCCCTTTTATTCTTATGTATGCAATCAACGTTAGTGCCTCAGTAGTCTAGACTGCAGTGTTCATAAAGGTAATTGTAAGAATTTTCAGTAGGTATGGGCTGGCACAAGAGGTCATCCTTAAGTCCTGTGGTGGCATTGGCATGTTTATGCATTTATCGCTGTCCCTCAGCCCAAGCTCAAGAGATACTTGGATCTGTGTCGCCATAATTGTCATGGTTCTGAATGAATAAAGTGTAGAGGATTTTGCTCACAATAATTTTTGTTCTACTGTGGGTTGCTGCAATGTCCTTCCAAGTCATATTTGGATATATGGTGCTTGTTGCTGTTGTCCTGGAGTTAGAATATGTTGGTGGGACTCAGGTGCAGTTTGGAATAGATCATAGGCTTAGGTGTTGCTTGAGATTACTGGTAGTTCTGGTTCTGGACCTGGAGTCAATTAGTGGAATTCCTATGGTATGAGTGTGTGTGATTCCAGGCTACCATGTTTGTCATGCTGCCAAATCCAAGTGGGTTCTTATCTATGTCCCAAGGGACACCAAGGCAGTGACCCAGAAAGGAAACCTAGTCTAGTCTCTCAGCCAAAGCACAAGTGGCACTGTAGTTTACAGTTCTTGTACTGACTGGCCCTGAAGCTGAAAGACTCTCTTAGAACCTCTACTGCATGGGATATACATAAAGCCTCAGCAAATACTTGGTGCTATAGGGACTAATTACTGGTTGCTGATAGTGGCTGGTAGATAGAAGTAGCTTTTGATGCAGATTGAATTCTGGGAGTCAGAAGAAGGCCCATTGTTAGTTCTCTTTTTTGAACTGGCAAAGTACCTCAGCAAGTAAAGGAACTTGCTCCTCAACTCTAGCAACCCAAGTTTGACCCTCAGAACCCACGTAATGTGGAAGGAGAGAACTGATTCTACAAAGTTGTCCACTGATTTCTGCATGTGTTTCATAGCTTGTATACCCTCACATTAACACAAACACAGGAAACGCTGGATGTAGTGTTTTGCCCAACTGTTCCAATAATAATGTTGATTAAACCCTGCCTTGCTGGGTTTAATATTTGCCGCCCTTAAATTATGAACTTTGATGAAGTGTCATTATTATAGTTTAAATCATGCTTATTTTTATAACCCATTAATTTTGTTGTTATATTCTTTGAGATTTGTAATTCAAACATGGTTATTTGGTGACATTTGATTTTTGTCTAAGATGGATGATTTTATCATACAAAAGGATGATAAATTTTTTCTACCGAATAAGTTTTCCTACGTAATCAGATTTAACACTTTTATGGATGTATTAGTTACTGTTCTATTGATGTACAGAGATACCATGGCCAAAACAACTTATAAAATTTATTTGAGGTCTTGCTTACAATTTTAGAGGGTGAGTCCATGACCATCATGGCAGGGAGCAAGGCATGGTGCTGGGCAGTAGCTGAGAGCTTACATCCTGATACAAAGGTAGAAAGAGAGAGTGAAACTGGGCCTGATGTGGTCTTTTGAAACC